TTAGTTTGTTTTTCACAAACACAAACATTGTCAACAGAGCCACGAGAATAAAACTTATTCCAGTCACAGCTACAGTTAACCAAGTACTCGAAACGCAATGAAGTTGTAAAGTTCGGTATTGACTGGTGATGAGTCGTGTTGTCGTCTTTTCACCCATCTTGTCTATACAGGAATAATTTCTACCGTCTAGATCTACTCTTGTCTGATAAAACCAGGCTAATAAACTGGACGATTCACAGGTACATCCAAAGGTGTTTCCAAATAATGATACGTGGATTGGATTTCTTTTCTCTGAATTAAGTTTATCCAATGTACTTCGTGTCTGTTCATCAACTGTAGCCAAGGCATTATAACTGAGATATATATTATGTAAATTTACAAGTGTTGAAAGATCCGGAATTGATACCAGATTATTAAACGATAAAGAGATTTCTTTCAATTCAGTTAGACCATTAAAAATATCAGCAGGTAGGATATTCAGCAGGTTTTCAGTCAGATCTAAATTTTGCATTTTTTTCAAAGGTTGGAAAAGTCTTTTTCCAATATTAAAAATATAATTACTGTCTAGGTTGACACTACGTAATCTTAAGGTGATTAAATTTGGAAACGTGTCAAAAAAAGATTGATGGATGTAACGGCAATTGCAATAACTGATATCCGCAATTTGTAAATTTTCTGCACCGAAGATTTTGCTTTTTTGGGAGAAGGTGAACTTGGTGTATGAAAAATTGACAGAAATTATATTTGATCCCCCGGTAATATTTAAGATAGGCAAAGTTCCCAACATGTTAGGCAATCCGTCCACGTACAGATATCTGAGTTTTTCTGGTAAGTAAATTGGAATGGTGTTTACAGACGGTAATGGCACATCAAGAAATCGCATATTGCCATCCATATGAAATTTCGCCTGGTTTGATAAATCGAAATATTCCAGATTTACAGCCTGATGAAAAAGGAGATAAGCATCTACTGGGTGTGCTACTTTGCCTGTTACTGCATTTCCAGATAAGTCCATGTGCTTTAAACACTTCGTTAAGCGTGGTATGGGAAAAGTCAGCATTTTTGAGAAATCAACCAGGTTTATTTGATTATTGGACAGATCTAAATACTCTATACAAATATCAGAAAGTATGTCCAATGACAACGGATAACCGGATACTTGTAGATACCAGTAACGGGGTTTACTATCCGTTATCTTTACATATTTGAGTGTTCTGTTTTTAAATACATGTAATGTAGGTATAAGATCAGGTACACCAAGAGTAGATAATCCCGTCGACGATAAAACAATGGTTTCCAGGCTCAATAATGAGGCAAAAACATTCCGATCTATATAATAGTATACGCAATCTTGTAACTTTATGGTTGAAATCGGAATTGATTTAAAGACGATGAAAGTAGTATTAGTAATATTAGGTAGATGACATTTAAATTCAATACTACCTATGACCACTCTCGACAAATCAAGTTTTCGTAGATTATGAAGTTTTGAGAAACCCCAATTAAAGTGATCAATAATCCATGCATCTATACGAAGAGACTGCAAACTAACTAAATAGCCGAAGGTCTTGCCGCCCTGTGAGATAAAATGGTTCTTTTTTCTAGTATATTTGAAGTTTGATCGGATACTTAAACGTTTCAGAGATGTCAGTGGTTTAAAGACTTTGTCTGGTAGAGATTTAACGGAATAGTTGAGCTTGTGTCCATTGAGCTCCAGCACATGAAGCTTGTTCAGATTGTTGAAAGCCTTTTCATGGATGTCACTGATCGGGTTGAGATTCAAATTCAGATATCTTAATTTGGTTAACTTCACAAACTGATTATTTAACAGATGTTTTATTTTGTTGTTATTTAAATACAGGGATGTGGTATTTAGAGGTAAATCATCTGGTACAGAAGAAAATCTACCATAAGAACAATCGACGTGCACACCCTTGTACTTCGCATCATTGGAGCAAGAGCAGGTTCTGGAGAGTTCGACCGTGGAGAGAAATGTCAAAAGCAAATAAAATCTCAAAAAATTAGTTGCCATGATATATCTGAAAAAATAAATAACCCCAGTAAAGTGAACAAAAGTAATTAATATTAATAATAATATGTCCCTTTATATAGCGCCAAATCCACAAATCGTGCTCATGGCGAATAATCGCGAATAATCACTTTAGCCAACGATAAGCAAGACCAAAATTCTCTTTTTTGAGTAAGATATCAACTCAATATTAAACATACATTATGACGTCACATTAATAATGACGTCATTGTATTAATCATATAAAACATACATTATGCAAGAGCTAAATCTGCCAATTGCAGGTCTTTCTTTAGGCCTGAAATGTTATCTAAATTTTTAATTAGACATTAATTAACTTATCCCGGCCATAATCAACTCTCGATGTCATCGCTAGCCTGCATTATTTACTGGATTATATCTGCTGCTCAACGTGCATTCATGATTAAATAAAAAAACAAATTAGATAATCAAGACTATGGTTTTTTATCGTACCGACTTTAGTAATGATGATCGAGGCTAGGCCCAAACTTCAATCACTAAACGCTCGGTTCAGAATGGATCAATTTGACTGACATTTTCAGCAAATTCCCTTTACATTATCTAGTTTTGAACTACGATAGTAAGGGCTGCCAACTCTTTATCTAATCTCCGCTACTATTCCCAACGTTTTCAAACGAGCTTATGTTACCCCTTTAATTAAAAAGTCTACACTGGATCCTAATGTTTTTAAAAATTACAGGCCAGTCTCTAACTTAAGTTTTATTTCTAAAATATTGGAGAAATGTATTGCTTCTCAGATAAAGGCCCATCTAGATGATAACTGTTTGTATAAACCATTTCAAAGTGCTTATAAACAATTTCACAGTACCGAAACAGCTTTAACCCGGGTTTCAAATGATATTTTAATGGAAATTGATAATAGAAAATGTACATTTTTAATTTTATTAGATTTATCTGCTGCTTTCGACACGGTGGACCCTTCCATTCTTCTACGTAGACTTCAATTTAAATTCGGTATTTGTGACTCTGCATTAAATCTTTTAGAGAGCTATCTTGTGGGTAGAAAACAGTGTATTTTAGTTAATTGCAAATCGTCGTCTGAATCTGTTTTGTCATCTGGGGTTCCCCAAGGTTCTGTTCTTGGTCCGATTTTATTTACCCTCTATACGTCACCATTAGGAGATATTGTCAGAAAATATGGTCTCAGCTTTCATTTGTATGCCGATGATACTCAATTATATATTTCATTTAAACCTAATTGTCCATCTTCTTTCAATTTATCAAAATTGCAACTTGAGAACTGTATTAGTGAAATTAGAAAATGGATGTCAAAGAACTTTCTAAAATTGAATGATGATAAAACCGAATATTTGTCATTAGGCTCAAGGCATCAATTAAGTAAATCTGCACAAGATAACCCCCCTGTTGTAATTGGTAATTGTGATATATTTTCATCTTATTCTGCTCGTAATATTGGCGCTATCTTTGATAGTTTTATGCTTATGGGAGCTCAAGTAAATAATATTTGTAAATTGTGCTATTTTAATATTAGAAATATAGGTAAAATACGTAAATGTGTAACTGTAGAGGCCACTAAGTCACTTGTTAATTCTCTGGTCACTTCTCTATTAGATAACTTTAATTCACTTTTAGTTGGTTTACCTTTAAAGCTTATAGATAAATTACAAAAAGTACAGAATACCGCGGCTAGACTTGTTACTTTAACTAAGAAATGTGACCACATAACTCCTGTTTTATATAATTTACACTGGTTACTTGTTAAATATCGAATTGATTTTAAGATTTTATTACTTACTTTTAAATGTTTAAATAATTTAGCTCCTGTTCACCTCTCAGATCTTTTAGAACTTTATACACCTGTCCGAACATTACGTACATCAGATAAACTACTTTTAAAGCCCAGAACTGTTCAACTAGTCTCCTATGGTCAGCGCCCTTTTAGTTATCAAGCACCTGTTTTATGGAATAATCTACCATTTAGTTTAAGATGTTGTACATCTCTGTATTCTTTTAAAAAACAACTTAAAACACATTTATTTAATCAGGCTTTTAACTGACTCTGTATACAATCGTTAACATGCCCATAATCTTGTTGTTTATGTGTGATTTACATTGTCACTTTGTAAAGTGCCTCTGGACATGTTATATGAATGGGTGCACTATAAATATGCTGTAATAATAATAATAATAATAATAATGTGTCTTTAACTTACCTGCTCAACTGTACAACATGCTCGCTCACCCTTGCAATCAAGCAATAAACTCGGTTGCTATCTCAAATATGATGAGGTTACCGCCTAGATTGAATGGAATCAACCAAGCGAAACGTTCTTCCTTTAACATAAGTTGCCTGTAAATAGCGTAACAAAGTAGCATCTATTGGGACGCCTTTGTTTGACTTCCATAATTTTTTCTGTTTAGGGTAGCATTGAACACCACCGGTTTTTTGAATCTCGTGAAGTATGATGCTATAGACACAAGATAAGGAGGTGTAATTAATAAACAAGTTTTCGGATAGGCGGTTATTACTGCACTGAGCAAATATCTTTGGTCGTCAGTAGAGTAAACAAAGGTTATTTCAAATTTTTTCAGTTGATGTCATTTTGGTTGAGTGCAGTCATCGAAACATTACCGTTGCCAGTCTCTACGTCATTTATTTGCCCAACCGGAGTTATATTGTAATACTAGACCTTTTAAAAGAGACATGTTTTTATCATAAATTGTAATTGTATACTTATTTCATTTTTGTATTTTAAATATCTATCTATCTATCTATCTATCTATCTATCTATAAAATAAATAAAAGATTCTACTCTCAGGTAAAAGTATATAGAAAAATGAGGTTTTTAGAAAGGAAAAACTAATTTCATCTTGGCTAGCGCTTTCAGAAATATTAACACAACCGTAAAGCTGCACTACTTTGTTTCACGGTAAACGATGAAAAGATAAAAGGTGTGCCGAGACAAACTGATTTCAACACTGGTTTAATAACATTTTAACATTTTAAAGTACTTTTCGTCCGTCTTGGGACTATTCATAAATAATGTCATTGTATAAAGATGGACAGTATAGTATATTTATACATATTTACATAGTAACACCGTGGTTTAAATGGGCTATAGTTACCATTGCCTATGGTATATATATGAGATTTTTTGTGTCACAATTCATATTGTCGTTGACAAATATATACATAAAACCACATTTCATTTCAATTAAAATCATCGGTATCTTAAAGGGAATTATTTGTGTATGTTGTGAAGTCCCCTATTGTGTAACCTATTAATGTACATTGGTGATTTTTTCAAAACTGTGTAAACAATTAACGCTAACAGTAGAGAAAGAGGGTCAGAGAGAGAGAGACAGGGAGAGAAATGGGGTTAACGTCCACTCGACACAAACTAGGTCATTTCGGAACTAACATATGGTTCAATTTTATTTCCATAATACGCTTGCGCGTAGGGGTCTTTAGCAGTAGGAGGAAACCGGAGGACCCGGAGAAAACCCACGAGGTTGGACAGGCGACCCTACTCCTTGTCACGTGCAACCGAGGAATCGAAACCACGCCAGTTGATTCAATGACAGACTTTATGCGTTAATATTAGAATGTCAACACGCATTAAATAATTTGTAATATGAATGGCATTTCCCTTCATTAACTAATTAATTACTATACAAAACAATGTTTTATGTTATTCCGTATCTTCATTGTTACATAATAGCAGAAGTTATTGATAGTTTTCGTGCCATCTTGACACATGAAAGCCGAATTGTTACATAATGGCAGATGTTATTGATAGTTTTCGTGCCATCTAGACACATGAAAGCAGAATTGATTAAAATATCTTTATGTCGGCTATTGATATCCATGGTTGTCCAGATAGTAATCATAAGTCATTACCATAATATAAACTTATAGCTGTCCGGAGTTATGTAATGTCCGTTGTCTTGTAAAGTAATCTGTATTGAACGCTTAATCTGCTATGATGCAATATAGCCAGCTGCATAATCTCTTCGAACATCCTTTGTCTAGAAAGGGTTTATAAGCAGGAATGAAAGGGAGTTAGTTCTTGGAAGTAAAGTTCCAGAAACGAACAAACGGGGATAGTTCAGAAAAGGCCATGGGCGCCTTGGGTTAAGGCTAGAACAAGGGCCATGTAAGTTGGTTGGAATGGGGAGCGCGCCGATCTCGAATCCAGGCTAGTTCAACAAGATGGCCAAATTCTAAATGTGGGGGGGGGGGGGAAAATCATAAGGTCCCCTATTAATATATTGAAATATAAGTTTTTGTGTTTAAAATTATATATACAATCATCTAAAATGATTAATATATTGAAATATAAGTTTTTGTGTTTAAAATTATATATACAATCATCTAAAATGATTAATATATTGAAATATAAGTTTTTGGGTTTAATATTATATATACAATCATCTAAAAATCTCTTCCTGTATGCTTCTATGTATAATTGTAATTTAATTACCAAATCGTAATGAATTAATTGTAATTAATTACCAAGTCGTTATTAATTAATTGTAATTAATTACCAAATCGTAATTAATTAATTGTAATTGTTAATTGTTCTCATATCCTGGCAAACGATAGTTCTTCAAGGTAGTCAAAAGCCAAAGTAGCATATGTTGGGGCAACATATGTTGGTACCCATGCATAGTAACATCTTTCATCTGTGTGTTGCATGGACAATTTATTCAATGTTGTTATATAATTTAATCACTCCAATGTTTTAAGTTCTTATTATTCTGTAAATTTTTTTTTAGTATTGTCACCATTGTCCTTTTCGTTGTAATTCGGCTATATAATGGAGAAAGATTCTCGCCTTTAACATATTCACAGCCATACCGTAATGGCATCCATCGTGACTAGATACACCGTCAGTCATATTAAACGTTTCAAAAACAGGTAATCCTAATTTCTCTAAACGAGGATTTAGCCATTTATTATAACGTACACAGTGTTTATATAGTTGAAACGGACCATGTGGATTCTGCAGAAGACCAGGTGCATGAGCTGCTGCCCACATGAATTTGGGCCATACAGACTTTTTAGCATTATAATGCTTCAATATTGGGTGGATATAATCATTCAGAATCTTTGTATAATTGTAGTCATCATGGATACCTAATCCAAGGAATATCATGGTTCTTGGTTTATCACGGAGATCATCTATAGCTCCATGGATATGTTGTTTCATTGAAGTTCGAGGGTTAGAAATGAACGTCATCTTGACAGTTCCATTACAAACAATGGGGTTCGTCTCTGTTCGGGCTTGGCACAACAGAAACATGTTATCCACACCTTCACATTTCTCCATAACTGAAACAAAAAATGTAGAGGAGTGTTACGTTGGGTGTAAAATTAAATTGAAAATTGAAACCCCAAAACAATCTCCATCAAACCCCATTTCATTTCATTTCTTGAAAAAGCGGATATGGGCGAATATTATAAACAATGAACAATTATAGTCACGTTCCTACTATAAACACTGATTAGAAGAGTGTAAGGATCCGTGGTCGAGGATCGATGAGGGAGAGGGGGCGGGGGTTAACGTCCACTGGACACAAACTAGGTCCTTTCGGGACTAACATATGGCTCCATTTTATTTCAATAATTCGTTTGCGCGTAGGGGGCTTTAGCAGTGGGAGGAAACCGGAGGACCCAGAGAAAACAAACGAGGTTAGACAGGCGACTCTACTCCTTATGTACAATCGAGGAATCGAAACCCCGCCAGTTGACTCAATGACAGACCTTATGATACAGCGCGCACACGCTAACCATTTGGCCATCCAGCCTCCCACAAACCCAAGAACTTGACATCCTGCATACGACACGATATACGCTTTATGAAAAAAAGTCCTGCAGTTACAGTTTCGGAGTTACGGGCACGCACAACACGGACAGCTCCCTGCCATCCACCCCCTCCCCCCGAGGATCAATGCCAATACCAGTTACCAGTATAGCTTTTAGATCGGAGAGAAAAAGTAGAGACGATTGTCCAATTAACATAAACTAGGAACTAACATGTACAATTATATTTTAAAAATGCGCTTGCGCGTAGGGGTCTTTAGCCTTGATAAGAAACCGGAATACCCAGAGAAATCCTACGAGATAGGCAGACCCTACTCCTTGTCATGTACAAGTTTGGGATTGAACCCACCCCACTTGACACACCTTCTGAGCTATAGAGCGGAAAGGTGTCACTATTTTGAAAAAACAAACAAACAAAACGACCTCACCTGTAAAACACCTTTATATATTTACCTGTATTATTTGTAACCACTGAATGTCTCAGATCACCTTTAAGTATCATAGTTAAAGCCATAAAAATCTGTCTGGTGAAAGAATTTCCACTCCAGAATATGGTAGAATTATGGAGTAAACGACACGCTGTGGTAGAATCAAAGTCATCAACTTGACAAGCGTGATGTGATGGCACCCAGGTAGAAGCTTCGGCTGAAATACGTTGTCTTAGATCATAACATTCCTCACATTTACAGTCTTCAGTAGATTTAGACACACAATAACCTTCATAACAACATGGCGTAGGTCCTTTAGGGTCACACAGGGCCCTAAGAACAGTGCCTGGATATTTAATATTACCACATTTACCATCCTTCATTTGGTATCTTTCGGGGAAGCCATAATTCCGTGCGACTTGTGTTGTAAATCGGTCAATTAATATTCCTATCAATTCCTGCGATAGACGCGGGAGTGGCTTCCAGTAACCTTTTACCATGTGCGATAGCACTCTCGGGCATTCGGTGTCCTCGCTGGAATATCTAAAATGGTTTAAATAAAAATCCGGTCGAAGGAATCCTCTATAAAACCAAACGATATTAATGACGGTGTAAATAAACACGCACACTATTGGAATACAACAACATTTCCTTGTAGACTTCATATTGACCCGGGCATGGATGACGTGTTTTATTCTTTAAAGATACACGCAAACCAACGAGCTAATTTCTTATAATAATAATAATAAGGAATTTATATAGCGCCTCTCATCTAGACCTGTTCTACTCGATGTCGCTTATCACCCATCAACCTCTGCTGTTCATAGTTTTGAGTAGAACAGTATTACCTTACAATATGGTTTTAAGACGGACTGAACAATATATAGGTCAAACAGAATTACTTTATACGTTGACAATCTGTATGCAAAATGCGACAGCTGTTGAACAGCTTAGCGTATTATTGGATTGTTTAGAAAGACCAGTCAGTTATGGTTTACCCTAACATATTGCAAGAAAACATTTTTGCGTTTATTTAGGTGTAGTGTATCAAATTTCGCGCACCGGAAAGCGGTAAAAAAAAAGAGGGAATCCAAAATGGCCGACATTCACCTGATCAATGGTCAAGAAAATCCTTAATAGTTTTATTATGTATATATCAAAATGTCAAATGAGCCCGGCGTGCTCCCCCCCTTGTGTCAGTGATGCAGGACGGAGGGCCTGACAAGAACAGCTGTCTGGTCGTTCGGATGGGACGAAAAACCGAGGTCCCGTGTACACATTGGCGTGCACGTAAAAGATCCTTGACAGTTGGAATTCGATATAAGAGTAGGCCGTAGTGCCGCTGTCTGGGAAAAATTTCCCTCATAGCACACTGTATGGCGTATGCCCAGTTCGGAGCAGAACAGTAGGACGTTAAACCCCATTTCATTTCATTTCATTTTGTCAAATGAGCCAATTAAAATTAGTATGACGTACTTAGTCCGTGTGGCAGACCTCGGATTTTGGAGCATCATTACCAATTTGATGAATAAATTCAACCATGATTTTCAGTTAGCCTGGTGGCTGAAGTGTTGAAATTTGGTTGATGAACTCCCGGGTCACTTTGCTAAATTCCATTTTGGCGGCCGTTATTTCATTGAAATTGGGTGCATCAGGGAAACCTTCATAACTCCTGAACAGTTTGAACTATGGATATGAAATGTGCCCCACAATGTTCGCAAGAAAATGCTACATCTGCTGCTATATGATACTTGTTGTTGAATAAATCATAAATTTTCCAAATCAACAGATTTTTCTGGGAAAAGCAACGTTTTGGCATTTTTTATTTCAAGTTTTCATGATTTATTTTACAAGTTTACTACCAAATCATGTTTTTAGTAATTTTAGCCAAATTATATGTGTGGTCTTCTTAAACATACATTATGCAAGAGCTAAATCTGTCTATTGCAGGTCTTTCTTTAGGCCTAAAATGTTATCCAAATTATTAATTAGACATTAATTAACTTATCCAGACCATAATCAACTCTAGATGGCATCGCTAGTCTGCGATTTTAAGTGGATTGTGATCCGATTTACTGCATAACTTTCCTTCTCGATTAAACGATTAAATGGATAATCGAGACTATGCTGTTTAACGTACTGACTTTAGTAATGATGACCGAGGCTAGGCAGAAATTTTATTCGCTTAGTTCTCGGTTCATAGTGGATCAATTTGAATGAAATTTTCAGCAAATTGCCTTTACGTTATCTAGTTTTCAATTATTATAGCGAGAACTGCCAACTCGTTATCGAATCTCCCATAATGTATCTTTAAGTTATTCATTTGGCATTAAAAAAATACGCCCAGTGGCCCTCCCTGTACAGCTGCGGTAGCCGCAAACTCAACAAAAGTCTTAAGTAGACTGTCAAATTTAAAATGTTGAACGTTGGCAAGGCAGGGCACCAACTTATAATAATCTATCTGCATACAAAGTTTATGAAAATACACATTTAAACAGCATTTAATATGGTCAACCACATATCGGACTGTCCCTTTAACTTAAAAATAAATTGTTTATTGGAATTTTCGATGAAACGTAAACTTTCTTGTAGCTGTAGACTAATCGACCACTTGTTAATTTGTAACATGTTTAACATCATATCTTTCTACGTGAATTAACAATAAATTTGTTCATTCTATAAAACAGAAACGTTTTTATACTTGTGAAATAAATACCAATTGTTTATACGATAAGTTGAAGTCTACCATGTAATTCGGAAATTTGCAACATGTTTAAGCACCATATCTTTCTATACGACCTAACAATAAATTGTTCATTCGATAAAAAGGAAACATTTTCTTTTATATAACTGTAAAATAATATACGATAAACTGTAAAATAGTATGTGTAGTCATGAATTTACGTCGTTTTTGATGAATTATTAATAATGAATTGATAATCAAAGCTGTGTGTTATTGCTGCTTTTAGATCTTTCTGCAGCATTTGACACAGTTGTCCGGTTTCCTCCCACTGCTAAAGACCCCTATGCGCAAGCGAATTATTGAAATAAATTTAAACCATGTGTTAGTCCCGAAATGACCTAGTTGTGTCGAGTGGACGTTAAACCCCATTTCTCTCTCTTTGACACAGTTGAAAACAAGGTGCTGTTCTCACGACTTGCTGGTGAATTTGGTGTAACTGGTTTAGCTCTCGAATTACTTAAGTCTTATTTAACAAATCGTTCCCAATCTGTCACTATACACAACAAACAATCTGACAAAAAAGATCTGAGCTTCGGTGTACCCCAGGGCTCAGTTTTAGGCCCAATTTTGTTCAGCATATACACCACCCCATTGTCCAAAATTATTGAGAAACATGGTCTGCAGTTCCAACTTTAGGCAGATGACACTCAGTTGTATCTGTCGTTTAAACCCTCTCTGCCTGGAGATTTCAATACATCAAAATATCAAATTGAAGAGTGTATTAGTAAAATTCGGGAATCAATTTCCTTAAAGTGAACGACGAAAAGACTGAATATATTCTTTTTGTATTCAAACAGTTTAGTGTCTAAGTTTGATAAAGGTGTGTCACTCTTAGTTGGTGAGCATGAAATAATCCCAACATCTTCAGCCTGTAACATTGGTGTTATCTTTGACAGTGAACTATCCATGGAGAAACAAATTAGCAATTTTTGAAGATCTTGTTATTTTCAACTGAGGAATATAAGTAAAATCAGTAAAAATTTGCCAGTTGAGTCCATCAAAATTGTTGTTCAGGCGCTTGTCAGGATAAGATGTGTCAATTTTAGCATTATCATTAACATCATTTTCAGCATTCCTTTTAGAGTCTTTATTAAAGTTCAGTGACTCTGAAAACCTTATAAAAGAGATATTATAAGCTAAGCTATATAAAACAGAAAAACATCATTCATTTTACGGAAATTCTGGCCGCCATTTTGAATTTTCGCCACCTTGGATTTTTCAAACTTTTTGTTTAGATTAAACATACACTATGCCTATTGCAGGTCTTTCTTTAGACCTGAAATGTTTTCTAAATTATTAATTAGACATCCATTAACTGATCCAGGCCATAATCAACTTTCGATGGCATCGGATTTCCCTGATATTAAATAAATTAGAACGGTTCAGCCATACTTTGATTTAATCTAAAAATGGACTTAGCTTCGAACAAACAGTACAGTGGTTGAAATTATTGCACATGTCTTGTCAAACCTTCAAAGGCTAATATCTTTGGTCGCAATTGAGTAATTTGAAGGAAATTTTCAAATTATTCATTTTACATTATCTATTTTCGAACTATTGGAGCAAGAACGACTTGCTCTTTGTCTAATTCTGACATAATGTATCTTTAATGGTAAGTTCAGCAGCACTGAGCATCCTTTCAATTGGATAGTACATGTCATATCAAACAATGAAATGACTATTACCTGACAGATTGGCCATTTTAGGAAATTTGCTCGCCATTTTGAATTTCCGCCATCTTGGATTTGGGACACTCATATTAGAGATTATTTGTATGATCAATGTTTCTGATATCAATTAAATCACTTTAGTTGACCAAATAGATAATTTGGCTTATATGGGTCTGAACACGATTTGTTAGTAAACTTATGAACAGACATGAAAAAAAATCGAAAATGTTGCTTTTTTCAGATTAATCTTTTATTTTAAAACTGACAGTATTGACTTAACAACATATATCATATACCAGCAGATGAAGAATTATATTATGAACATTTGGAGCTATATTACATATCAATAGGTGAAACAGTTGAGGTGTTATAAAGGCTTCCCTACTCGCACAATTTCAAATAAAACAAAAACGGCCGCCATTTGGCAAAGTGACCCGGAAGTCCATCCACCAATTTTGGACACTTTAGACCTAAACCAATTCATCAAATTGGTAATGAATATCTGCCTGTCACATGAACTAACTACGACGACCGGCACATTTACGTACTAAAATATTTAAACTTTTGGCTTTATTCCCAATAAAGGACTTAAGGGATCAGTTAACACCACTGGACATATATTCAAATGAAATATTGATCCCAAAAACATTAGTTGAGACGAATTTACTATATTATGACGAAGCAGTGCAGAGATATATATTTGGGTTTTCGTTCCCAGGTTGTGGGATTGAGGTATATCTGAAAATGGTTTAAGGGACTAGTAAACATCCCTGGGTATATCTACAAATGAGACTGACCAAATTTGCTATTTTATGACGAAACAGTGCAGAGTTGTGCCCATTGGTATATGTGGGTTCTCGATCATAAGCTTTTAGGGTAGGGGTACCCCTGAAATGGGCACTAGGAAGCATCGGACATCTTAAAAAACATTTCATATGAAAAATAGATCCTGACAACCCAACGACAATTGTCAGTGTTATTTGTTTCGATTAAAAATTGACCACTTATGCTTGTCTGAAGGTTTTTTGTTTACCTTTTAAAGAAAAATAATTGTAAAAACTTTGGGACATTCCGGTAAACTTTTAGGATTTTATTCAGTACACCCAGAAACCATAAAAACAAACTTTTCTTGCAATTGTTTAGGGTTGACCTCCCTTTTTTTCATAAATTCATCGGTCACATCAATCAGAAAACGAAATTTTGAACTATTAAAAAAACGAAACGAAATAGAATCTGTGTTTTAATCAGATTAAAAATAAACATAAGTTTGTTCTATATCTAAACTACCAAATTGGTCGCTTTAATCGTCATGAATTCTAAAGTAGCATCTAATTGTGTTTTGGGGAAACTGTTTTCAAACATTCACCATTTTTATGTCGATACCTTGTAGAAACTATTTACACATCCTCTCGCTTCCTATTATTGAAATTAAATGGCCAGAGGTTGAA